GGGGCTGCTAACTGTAACTCTGGCCCAGCCCCCCCAGCGTTTCGTTCCATCTTGAAGGCCTTGGGGCCTTTGGTCCTCGTCAAGGGTGCTGTTGATGCTGTGGGACGTCCTGGGGTTCGAAACCCTGGGGTCTCTTCGGTCCTCGGACAGTTCTGGCAACACCGGATGATTGCTGACGCTTCGAAGTCGAGAGGAAGCCCGCCAGCGCCAGAGGCCTCTTTGTGCACGGACCCCGCCGGCCGCCTTCGTCGGGCCCCCTGGCTGGTCGACCGCTTCAGTCTTGTGGGCATGGGCATCAGGGTCAGGCTTTGACAGGGTTCCACGGTCTCGCAGGTGCTCGTGGGATGTTGGAGCTTCATCCTGCGCAGGATGCTTGCAAGCAGCTGCGCCTCGCCGGGAGCGTTCCGGGAGTGCTTGAATTGTTCCGAACGGCCGCCAGAGGTCCGAATTGTGGCCCAAAAGCCAGACCTCTCGAGCACATCGGGGGGGGGGCGCGGTGATGCGCTCGAGATCCTCGATCCTCGAACCTGGATTCCCCTCCTCCCCCTCCTCCTCGATCTTCGAACCTCGATTCTCCCCCTCCTGCTCCTCCTCCTCCTCCTCCTCGTCCCCATCCTCCCCTCCCGCTCCGCATCCCCCTTCTCCTCCTCCTCCTCCTCCTCCTCCTCCTCCTCGTCCTCCTCCTCCCCCTCCCACCCCCTCTTCCTCCTCTTCCTCCTCGTCCTCCTCTTGCACTGGCACTGACCGCTAAAGCCAGGCCCAAGGCATATCCAAGTTATTGTTTTCTCCCCCCAAGGACCTCGATGATCACTTCACTGGCTTTCGGAAATGGCCCAGCGTGTAAAGGGTTACGTTTTCCCGATCGTTGAAGATCCTGTTTTCACTGGTCAGGACCATCAGTGGCAGGCCACAGGGGTTGAGCTTCTCGAGGTGCTCAGCGAAGCCCTCAGCAACTACTCGGCCACCGCCAGAGCGGAGGCTGCTGCGAGGTGCAAAGGGTGGCTCTCAGGCGGCATCGAGGGAGGGGGTAAGCGTGCCCACAATTGGACTCGACCCCCCCAACGCTTGGACCCCCACCCACACCGTTTCTTCCAAAGGTAAAAAGTTTTGGCTGACCCGAAGAGTCTCTTGCAAACGGAATGTGCTCGTTTTTCTGGCTTCTGAAGCGAAGGCCAAGGAGGTGCAATTCAAGGGCCAGCAGGGGCTTGCTTCCCATTCGGACCCCCTCACTTGGATAGAGCCCGACACCATCCGCCAAGCCTCGCGTTCTTACAAGTTGGCTTCGGCTGTCTGTGTGGACGGTTTTTACATGCGACACTTCAATGCTCTTAGTGAACTCTCTCTCTCTCTCTCTCTCTCTTCACGTTCTCATGTCGGTTTGGTCGGTAATGGAAAGCGCTGGTTCGATTCCCAAACAGATTCGTGTTTTGGGTTTCGCTTTGCTCGAAAAACCTTCGGGGGGATGGACACCCATCGGTATTTTGCAGGTTTCTGCAGGACCTGGGGAAGGCTGCGGCGGCCTATTCTCCAGAGCTGGGAGGCGAGTGTGCACCGCTTATACCTCGCCGCCTCCGCGTTCACAGGAGCTGGCGACGTGGTTTGGCGCCAGGCGTTTCGCTCCGAGAGTGCAGTGTGCAATTCGCAGGCTACTTGCAGCTTGTAATGTGATTTAGCCAAGTTCTTCGAGACCGTCTGCTTGGATAAGTTCAGAGACAGCTGCAAACACTTGGGCTTCCCAGAGCAGATCGCCTCTGTCTGCCTGCACATGTACCGAAGACCGCGCTTTTTGATGCCGCGCTCCATGGTGCAAGGCCCTTTCTTTGCCGCTCGAGGAGCGTTCGCTGGCTGTTCGGCAGCCACCAGCTTTGTGCGTGTCTTTATCATTCCCTCTCTCGACCTCCTCTGCCCGTTTGTATTGTGCACAAGGGTTTGTATGTGTACATCGATGATTACGGGTTTTCGGTGCAGGCTCGTCCGTGTTCCACTGTCTGTATTGTGGTGGACGCTGCCGCTGAACTCCACCGTGTTATCACCGAGTACATGGATTCCACCATTTCCCTTGACAGGGCTGCCCTGGTGTGCCCCTCTTCCCCCCGTGGCGCTCTCATCAAGAAGCTGCCCGGACCTCTGGCGGGTACGCCGCAGGACTCGGCTGCCAACTTCGGGTTTGACGAGATTTGGGGCATGGGAATGAGAGGAGGGAGGAGGGGTACAACGTATGCGACCAGGCGTCGAGTGTTTAAACAATGGTTCGCTGTGCTTCATCGTTGCAAAGCCATGCTCGGGAGGCACACGTGCCGTATTTTACCGCAGGACCGCTTGCAGGGCTGAGCTACGATGTTGATGCTCGCGGCATTTCTGTCTACGAGCGGGTCTTTGACCGCAGGGCCCGTGCTTCCACCCTCAAACCGTCTGCGGGTCAGCGTTCCCTCACGTCCCTCCTCGTTTTGTCTAACGACTTGACATGGCGGGCTGTTCTTGTTCCGATTTTGAGGTTGTCGAAACAAGTTTGGGGTTCGCAAGTGAGGCTGACTGAACATGCTCTTTCGTATAGGGTCCCGAGCCGAGCGTGGACAACTGTTTTTACCGACGCCCCTACCCCCACGTGGCGTCAAGTGGGAACCCCCTGGCAGGTGATGGGGCTTTCGCTGCAACGGATCGGCTTGCACATGCCACTGTGGCACACGCTGGCCATTGACTTTGGAGACCGCATCCAGCTCACTTCGTGCTCCCCTGTGCCCGTGGCGGATCTTTGTTCGAAGGGGTGATCAGATCGCACCAGAGGGCGTTGGGAGACAAGCTGGGGATGGTTCGGTTGTGTTTCGATGCCGTGGCCTCAGAGTTGCGGCGATCGGCGCATTCTCCCATCGAGCGTGTTTGCATTCGTCTGCTCAATTGCGATGGGTCTTGGATTCAGGACCGCGTCATCGAGCGCGGCTACGAGCTTCCAAGCAATCTTTGCCAGGTTTGCCGAGCTGCTTCTGACACTTTAATGCATAGGCTGTGGCAGTGCCCGAGCGTCAGAGAGCTGCGTGAGTCGGCCTGAGGACAAGATCTGTTACTTGAAGTTTGGAGAGCCATTGCAGAAGGCAGTGGCTAGGACACGTTGCTTGTCCAGAGGGGTATTTTCCAGCGTTCCGGGGACAGGTTGCCGAGGCCATGTCCTGTTGGCCGTGTCGTCCGTCCATTTTACTGCTTGCAGTCCTGGGTCCAAGTCTGGCCACGCGGAAGTGCCTGTTGCTGTTTTCCGGGACGGTTCGTCCTACAAACATGTCATCAAGGAGCTGTATTGGGCGGGCTGGGGGTTCGTTTCTGTGGACCCCACAGGAGAGGTCATCGCCTCTGTGTCGGGTGCGTTTGGCAGACCGTTCCCTCAGACCTCTCGCGCTGGAGAGAACAGCGCGTACCCAGCCACTGCTCAGTGCCTGGCAGGCCCCACGACGGGCTATGCAGAGTGTGAAAATGGGTCGTCAGGACCCACGTTTCCCCCAAGGCTGTGCTTTTTGCACATGAAGAAGTACTTGGCAGTTCCATTTCCACCGCTTCCCCGCATTGGCAACAGGTCCTAAGATGCAAGGCTCACGCGTTGGACTCTTCCGACCTCTCCGCGGAGGTGCGTTTCCTCATGCTGGGCAATGATGCCGCCGACAGGGCGGCCAAACATGGAGTGGCCCTTCACCCGCAGGCCAGTGCGGATGAGTGGGCGCTGGTCGATCGTTTCGTTAAGATGGCTAAGGCCGCGTGCAGAGTTGTTGCCGCTATGCCCCCGAGCTGGCCCATGCTCGATCTCAGCGAAGTCACCCGAGCCATTCCCATGTTTCCTCTCCCTTTTCTTGAGCTTCGGTTCGGTCACCATTGGGAGTGGTATCGTGGAGTTTGGAGATGCATGTGCTGCCTTCGTTTTCGTCGTTCAGAAGAGCGGCCCCCCAGCGGTGGCTGCTGAGGGGGAGCCGCCGCCTGCTTTGCAAGACATGTCGAATTTAGGTCACCGAATGCCCGCCTTGCAATGCAGTGACCACTCCCGCTCTTCGCCTGTGTCAGTTGTAAAGCGCACGCCTGTCTCGGGAGAGGGCATCGCTTGAGCCGCCCCTGCGATCTCAAGCTCGCTGGCCGAAATGAAAGGATCGCTGGCGGCTCATGTGTGGTGGTCGCCACCCTCAGCTCAAAAGGTTAGTGTCGAGCCCATGCCAGAGATGGGAGAGTAATCGTTCCGCGTATTTTCCCACATGCGCTCTTCGCGTAGCTCGCCTGTCGTTTGCAGTGTCCTCCTGCAGGCCAGTGGTCTGGCTTAACTGTTGTAGGTTCGATCTGGGGCCGTTGGTCGTCTTTTTCACTGCTGCACCTGTGTCTGTTCACTCCCCTCTGCTTGCACGGCCGTGGGGCGCCGGGGGCAATTCTCCCCCTGCGGTGACCGTTGCACAGAGGGGCCGCCCATCGCAATTAGTCCAAATGAGCTGTCGGAGGTGCCGGGGTTGTCCCGAAACCGCCAGCGTCTCTGTCTCGCTGGCTGTCTTTTTTCTTCAGGCAAGCTCGCCAGCTATTTGCTTTTTACTTTCTTTTGCACTTATTGCATGTAGCTGTGCGTCGCAATCTTCTGCGCCGAGCTGGGCAGCAGGCTCGACCCGGGGTCTCGTGCCGTCCTTTTCACTGCTGCACCCGTTTGGTCTATCCGCTTGGCTGCCCGCAGGGTCGAAGGTCTTCCCCTGTGGGCTCAGCGAGGCTGGCGCATCGTGTGCTGGCGCTGTTTGGGGCACGGGGGAGCTCAGGCTCTAAACTCCTCTTCTGTGGCTCCCTGGGCGCCCTTTTTGCCGTCGCGTCGTGGGCACAGTCTCCTGGTTTTGTCATGGGGGCAGGCCCTTACGCTGTGTGTGTGTGTGGCCTTTTTTCCATCAGGTTACCTGTTGGGCAGCATCAAGTGGAGCAACTCCCCGTCCTCCCTCTCCTCATGGAAGCAGTGGAAGGGGGGGGGTCAGAGAGGGGCGCGCGGGGGGCCGCTCCAGGCGCCGCGTCCGCGCGCAGCCTGTCCGACAGGCTCACGCCCAGGCTGGGCCGCACCGGGGGGGGGGGGGCGGCCTCGCTCCTGCAGTTCGGGACGATCGTCGGGTGTGGAAACGAATGCTTCGGAGATCAACGCCATGTCCTGTTGGTTGTGAAAATGGGGCTTGCGAGGTACAGTCGGCCCGAAGCATCAGATCGAGGTCGGTTCGGGGAGGGTCTCCTGGTCGTGTTTGTTCGATGCTCTTGTGCATCCTGGGGAGGGTCCCTTGGATGTCCTATGTGTTTTGGCCGACGGAGTGTCTCATGTTCTTGAAGGATGTTCTTCTGGCCTAGCTCTGTCTATACCCATACGGCTACCCTTCCCTCGTTTGCCCCTTAGGGGGCCTCATATGAGGTCCTCGTCGCAACCGTAGGATTCGCTTCGAAATTCTGGTCAGAGTGCACCCTGGGATAGGGCCGTTGAGTAGCAGTATCGGTACCTTAGCGTTTTCTAAGACTGGGCACGAGAATTAACAACATGTCTTGTTCGTTTTGAACAGGACTTGCTGTCGGCGTCGCCGCAGTGGTTGTCTATTTGAGACAGGGCCGCCTGTCCAACAGCGGTCGCGGTCGGTTTTGGACAGCACTTGTGGTTGGGCATCTTGCCAATTCTTTCCGTACCTATCTCGGGCATCCAAATCCGTTTTGTTGTTGTTGTTTCCCACCCGAGTGGCTACAGGGCTCCGTTCGTCTCCTCCGATTCGATTCGAGTCGGTTTTGATTCGATTTGGCCTCGGATTGCGATTTGGATTTCGGTTTCTCTGTGGTGGCCTCACTAGCCTGCCGATTTCCGCAGATTCGACTTCTCCCGACGTGGCTGCCGATCTCCGCCGATCCGATGCATTGCGCGATCGCCGATCCGACATCGCTTCGATTCTGGGCTCTCCTGGGCTCTCCTGGGTGAAGAAAGAAGTGCCGACCCGCCTCGCAAACCCTGCATACCGTGGCCGCGACGCCCACAGTGTGCAGGTGCTGGTGCTCCCGGGGATCCCGCCTCGCGTTCTCGGGTGAGGATCGCTCGAAGCAGTGTAGTTATTGCTTTTTCCAACTGGCGTAATTACGCCATTCCGCCGACCCCCAGAAGAGGAGGAGAATGGGGTTGATCAGGATGACGACAACGAGGAATCTTGAAAGTTACTTGGCGTACAGAGCTTGGCTTCTTGGGGGTCTGTTGGGGGGAGCCTTTCGCAGGTCCCTGCGGGCATCTCGGCGCTTTCCAGGGGGCTCTTGTTGACCTCTTGGCGGCACGTTGGGGGTGTCGGGTGCAGTATTGTGTGGCTTTCCCCCCCTTTGTTGAATTGGATTGCGGATTCCCAGGGAGGGGAGAAGGGGGATGGGGGACAGCCAAATGTAGCACACGATTGGGTTCGGCGGATCTTGGTACATGTGGCATGATGTGCGTCAGCAACACGCCGCGAGTGTCGCCATCTGAGGCACGAAGAGTCCCAACTCCCTCATAAGCATCCTCACGCTCCTCTGTCATCATCACCATCATCACCATCAGCGTCGAGTCAAATCCATGTCTATCCATGCATGATCATCGTCATTATCACCATCACCGTTACCATCTTCATCACCATCATCACCATCATCATCACCATCCTCGTCCTTATCATCATCGTCTCATCATCATCATTATTATCATCACCACCATCATCATCATCGTCATCATTATCGTCCTCATCATCATTATTAGTGTTGTTGTTCTAATCATTATTATTGTTGATATCATCATTATTATTATTATCTTATTTATTTATAGTATGAAATCATAATATTGTTTTTATTTGTCTCATGTTTTTTGTTATCATTGTCATCAACATCATCATCATCGGCGTCGAGACATCTGCCTGGTCCAGGTGGCGATGAGAGAATGTTGCGGGTCTCTCTCGCCAAGGGCGACCATCCATCCGATCTCATTTCTGCTCTATCGCCGCCTCCTGGTGCCTACTGATTTCTTGCCATGGCTGGCACTGATTGTAAGATTATGTCTCTTGTATTCTCTTGGAGACTTGAACGAGAGGCTCGGGAGACGGTGGCTAAGGCACAGTCGTGTCTGAAGGGGTGGTCCATGACTGATCAGATTCTGGAAGCTGCTTTCTGGGGCCCAGGACGGTCCCGGCCAGGCATGGTGGTGGCGATGTGCAGTTGCGCCCTCTGCGCACCCTCTTCCTGTGCCCTCGCGGTCCTCCCCCTCGACCACCCCCCCTTCACGCCCGGTGGGCCCGCCGCGGCCAGCGGCCACGCGCGCCCAGGCAGCAGCAGCAGCTCGGAGTCCTGCGCCGCCGGCTAGAGGCGGCAGGGACGTCTGTCTGCGTCGAACCTGACCGGTCCCGCCCTGCATGCAGCCCATAAGAAGAAACCTTGCATGAACATAGTTTTTCGGAGGTCCGTGCGGAGTTCCTGGATCGGCACTGGACCCCCCCTGGCGGCGCCTCTGGCGCCGCCCTTGGCGCGCTCCGCGCGCCAGAGACGGGAGTCCAGCGCCGATCCAGGAACTCCGCGCGGAGCTCCGTCAGTTCATGCTGATGCAGGTTTTTCTTCGTCGGCTTCAGGGTCGATGTAATTTCTCGTCCTCTGCGGGCGCTTGCGCCCCTCCCCTCTCCGACCATGACGGCCTGTGCACCGACCCTGGGCCCAGGCCGCGGCTCGGTCATTTCGGCTGCGTCGCAGTCGGTTGCGTTCGGTCGATTCGGTTCGGTCGACTGCCATGTCGCTGCTGCGTTGCTGTGCCCCTGAGGACTGTCTGCGGCCTGTCGGCTTCGGCCGATCTCGGCCTCGCTGCCGGCTCGGCCAGTCTTTGGGTGTGCTGTCGCCCTGGACGACCTTCAGGATCGGCACATCCCTGGCGCAGGTACGCCCAGCCGACGCCCAGCCCAAACATCCGGCGTCTCCTTCCCTGTCAACGCGCGGCCCCGAGAGGTCCCGACTCACTCCCTGGGGCTAGTCTTTCGTTCTGGATCCATGTCTGATGGCCCCTGGACCACTAGAGGCCTCTTAGATGGGGTCCGAGTAGACGGGGTCGGATGATCGGCGATGCATCGGCCATGCACTGGCGATGTCGTCGATACATCCGCGACGTCGGCGTGGAGAAAATCGGACCCATGCGGCACGATCCTCCGACCCCATCTGCTCCGACCCCATCTAGGAGGCCTAGAACCAGTGAGCGGACCCCAACAGGCCGAACACGAGGACAAACGCTGGGACTGAACGAGCACCAATCTTCGGACCCCGAGGTCCGACTTCGCTAAACATTGCCAACATCGGCAGACATGACGAATGGCTACGGTCTTCATGTGCCTCATCATTCTGCGGCAGTTCTGGAGCCGGATAGATCCGCGAGGGCCCGGGAGCCCGAAGCCTTGCGATCACGCCCATGGTGAGCACAAATGCGACGCCCTGGCCTCAGGGTATGCACAGCCTGCGCCCTCCGAAGGCGGGGCGCCGCTGCAACTCCTGGAAGGAGACTGGATTCAGCATCGGCGCGGGTATGTCTGTGGTCGGAGCTGGCCTGACCTGGCCTGGTCTTGTTTGAGACCGATAATGCTGCCCTCATGAATCCAGCCCAATTGGGCATACTCTGAAAGCTTATGATCGGGGCCTTCCCACGAAGACCTCTCGGGAGTTGCCTCCTAACACAGCCGACGCCCCCGCAATCGGTTGTTGGACGAGTCAAACGGAGAGTTGCCACGATCGGCGCTGTCTTACAATGCCCAAGTCTTCGCGGCACCGGGCTGCTCGTCAAGAGCCCGAGGAGGAAGGCTGCGGCTTCAGAATGCAGCAGGCTACCGGCATGCTGTTGCTCCCCCTCAATTGTTCAGAATGGTACGCACAGGAGCAACGGAACTGGGCAAGGGATATGGTGGAGTCTATCTTCTGGCATCGGGGGGAGGAGGTCGAGGAGGAAGAAGACACGCTCCAGGTGCTCGCGCCTCGCAGCCTGCCAAAGAAAGAGGAAGAGGACGGGGCCGCCACCCATCGGGAGAAAACCGCCCGCAGCCTCGAGTTCTGAGGAGGAAGAGGCGAGCCAGCACACGAGCAGGATGAGGATCAGGAACCAGGTTTAAGTCGGGCCTGTCCCTCTACAGGAGGAATATTCAAACATAGTAAAAAATAGGGGACGATTTGTGTCGAGTATTTTTCGACTACTTTGGAGTATTTTTGAGTATGCTTCATTTTTCTGCCAAAATCCGCCTGCAGGGGGACATGCCCGACCTGAAACCAGGTGCAGCAGGCAGCAAAAAGAGGAGGACGGGCCCGACAGACAGTGCCACGCCCTCCGAAGGCGAGCCTGCTCCCGGGGGCAGCGGCGTCCCCGGAGCGCTCCGCGGTGATCGCACCGCCGTCCGGGGCGGCGAGGCCGCTGCCGGCGGGGGCGCCCCCCGAGGGGCGGCGGTCTGCCCGGGCAGCGGTGCCGCCGCAGGGGGCCGGAGGCCGGGCGGCCGCCGGGGCTCCCAAGAGCTCCAGCGGGTTGGGCTCCCAGAGAGCCAACGTATTGAAACAAGCAAGACGGGTTTTTTTCGCAAAGTTCGGCCCTGGGGCCGCGCCTCGGGACCGTCAAAAACCGACTCAGGATGAAAAACCTGTCCTGGGGAATTGGTCGAGACTTCCGGGGACCCCGTATTGAAAAAATCACGACATCGGATCTTTGGGCTGAGGTTCACAGATCCTGCAGGCCACAGGCCATATGCCTTCCAAATGGGGTTCGAGCAGTTCGGTGGGGTCGGAGCACTGTGCCCTCCCTATCGCCGAGGCATCGGCACTGCGGCGCGATGTGTAGCCCGAGCTTCTCCAGGCCAACGTCGCTGGCGCATCGCCAGAATCGCCGATGCATCAGCGATGCAACGGCGGTGCGGGGCGGATCCTCCGACCCCATCTACTCGGACCCCCTGTCGGAGGCCTGCGTAACTTGATCCAGTCGCATCGTGAACAGGTCACAAGGTGAGGTCGGCCTCTGGATGCCCTCGCGGGGCTGCGGGACCGTAAACACAAATGGCTCAGGGCGAAACACTTTTGCCCGGAAGACTGGGCACCTGTGGGGGCCGACGCCGTGAAAAAGAATCACGCCGTCGGAGGTCTGGGTTGGCAAGTGACGAGCGACGAGCGTGTCCGTGTCCGTGCCCCTGCGCTCTGGACTCCCGGGCGCGATGCTACGGATGGAAGCCCACCTCGGGAGGCGCGGTTCCAGCGGCCCGCGCGCCCGTGTTCTGAGCTCCCCCGGCTGGGGCGGTGGCCCCACCGGAGCTCGGCACTTCAATCCAGGCGTCTTCGCGTCGTGAAGAGTTGGTTCTTCAGGGACACTTGCTGGGGACCTCGGGGCCGTCAACAAACTCGGGATGGAATGCAGGTCCCCAGGAAGAGGTGCAGAGCTGCGTTGCCAACAAATCATGACGTCGGAAGTCAAATCCAATGAGCTTTCCGCGGGTTTCCCCTGGTCGTGAGAGGTTTTCTCGCCCCAGGAGTCTTGTCATCAGCTGCGCTTTGCCGAGCGCGTGCCCAGGGTGCACTGATCGTTTCCGCAACGTTCTCGGAGCGTGGTGCAGCGCTTCGAAATGGCCGTGGCGCCCGATACATCCTCCAGGCCCGCCAAGTTTCAGAGATTCTTGATTGTCATCGGGGCCTTTCTTCCATTTTGTCGTCTTGCGTGCCCAGATTTTTACCGATGTGGTTTTTCACAACGCGGCGCCTGGACCTCTTCCGGGGGGCAGATCTTTAATCTCGAGTCGTTCTTGACGGTCCAGTTCCCAGTAAGGGCTTCCGTGGCCGAACATGGCGAACAGACATCAGTCGTGCTTTGTTTATGACGACAGGCGGTTGCTGGGTTGAAACAAACTAACAGGATAGTGCGAGATGAAGTGTCCGCCCATTCCCCGGGGGGATAATTTCCTCCAGT